TTGCACCTGGCACGGGCACCGTAGCCAGCCCATGCCCCTTTAAGGGGTCCGGGGCCGGGAGGGGGGCATACGAGTTTCCCTGGTGTTGGCCAGAGTGGCCACCAGGGAAAGCTGGGGAGGGCTAGCCTCCCACTAGTTCGAATTAAGGGGCTACACACCCCTTAATTCGAACTAGTAAGTTCGAACTAGGCTTAGTCCTCGTACAATGAGGTTTACCTAGTTCGAACTAAGTGCTCCGCTAGTTCGAATTAAGTTCGAACTAGCGGAGCGCTAGTGTAGCGCCTATCAAAGTTAATTCAACTAACGTCTGTTAGTTCGAATTAACTTTGTAGTGTAGACATACCCTGAGGGACAGAGTTTTCTCCGGTTAGGTCTGTGCAGTGGATCTCAGCTCTCCATCTTTTACTCACGTGAACATCTCTTACTGACCACTATGAGAGTTTTATACATTGTAGGGGGAGCAGAATTTCACCAGAATGTATTTTTAAGTGAAAATAGCTTTTGATTAGACAAGGCATCAATAAAAAGGAGCAAAATGTATAAATATCTCACATTTAACTCTCCTTTCAAATGAATTATGTGGTATTAAAAAAATTTCTACCGTCGTCTTCATTATAAACAAGTCTGAGACATCTTGGAGTTTTAGAAAAATTATTTTATTTTAACCAATCTTTAAAGTAGATCGAGGGAAAAGAAATGTAGAACTTTAAAAGGAAAATAATAATAATAAAAAAAAACCACAGCAAAATTGGAAGTACCAGAATCTTGTCAGAATGACATGGAAAAATTGTAACCTACAGTAAAACACCTGTCATTTTTACCATAGTCCTTACCCTTGAATTTTTTGAATTGCACAGCACACTTGTTCACAACTCACATGTGAACACAACACAGATGTAAAGTGATGCTAATGTTTTGCTGACAGTTTGCTGAAGAAAGCTGTAAGCATTTATACAGTGGCTTAGTTTATAAGATTAAAGCATTCAAAGCTGCTCTAGGCAAAAGTTCAATGTTTTTTATTATTTCATTCTAAGTCTAATATATATGCAGTTCTGTTACTTTTTTCCACGTGCATACATTTTTATACTTCCTTTCAGTACTGGAAGTCAGATTACAAGAAAACCATCTGCCTTCCTTCCTAAAGACGTGTTGTCTGATTTATCATTTGTAACAGAAGCTTTGCCTCAACCCTAGGTAGTGGTCCTCATTCCACTGAATTGTATTATTGACTGTCCTGAGAATAGCACTAGGCTTATGCTCAATCTTCCCTGCAACCAGTCAGCAAACTAGATGATCAAACAGAGCATGCACGGAAAAAAGGAAGCCTCAAGAGCATTGAGGCCTCAGAGCATTGAAACATTCACGACACAAACACACACCCCTCCTACCAGCAAAACTCACATATTGCTCTAGCCCTGATTTAGGCTTCAGCCTCAGAGATGGCAGATCACTAAAAGAGCGACTGCGCTGAAGCTTGTCAAAGAAAGTGTCTTGCAGAGCATCTAAAATTGACAACTGCGGCTTGTCTTGTGGAGGATGTAGCCACTTCTTCATCAGTTAAAGCAAAAAGGGGGGAGTTAGTTCAATGCATCATAGTTACAGCACTTAAATGGCTAGTTTTAGAGATATTAGGAGTGAAATTCACCTCATTTTCAAGGCCATTGTGCTACTTAAATGCTATTCAACCCATCAAAGCAGGGTTTAAGCAGGGTTTAAGTGACACCTTTGCCCTGTGCAAATCCTTTGAGTTATATTAAACTAGGACTAGTCTTAATTTTTTTTTATAACTGCTATTGCAGGACGGACATAAAATCTACCCAGATAGTACAAGCACACAGGCAGAAGCACGGGCATCAGATAACTGACTATATTGTGTATTTTTCCAGGAACCTAAACATGCTTTCTTTCTAGATGGAACATCTGGAATTGTGTTGCTTTTCATAAAGAGTTTATAAGGGCAATATGATGAAACTGGGAAAATGCATTTTAAATCAATTTAGCATTTAGGATGTTGATATGGCAGTGAGGCTTTCCATATAATTATGAGGTCAAACTTAACTTACAAAGAATGAGTGATCCTTGAAGACAGGAGTTTCTGGGGTGCCTTGGCTATACATGGACATCCTTCTTTGGAGAGCAGATGCTTTGTTCACATTGCCTGTGGATGGGGTCAAGTCCTCAACATCAAATGGGCTGCAAAAAATAAGTCACACATTCACTAGACTGAAGGAGACTGTATTGCAAGGAAAAAATGTTTCCTTTTTATTCATTTGGCTCCTTGGAATAAGCTGCACCTGCCACAAAACAAAAGTAATGGATTTTAACAACAAATCTAAAAAGGATAATTCCATTTTTAAGTGAACTGTTTCTCTGAAACTTGTTCATTAGGCAGGTAGCTTAGAAGTGTGATCCTCTTTTAGGATTAAAGTAGTCCACTGCCAAGAATAACTTTATATATGCTAATATGATGTGACTTACAACATGAAGAATCATCTTCCATTTGAGATGACACATATCATACATAACTGAGTAAGGCAGTCTATTATTAAAAGAGCCCTTGCATCACAATGGAATACAGCAGTTGTCATGACTGGTTTCATGCTTTATTGCATTTTAAGATATACACAAATGTAAATGTTAAATACTTCAGTGTTTGTTTGGAGATGTCAGATACTTCATTAAAGTGCCAAGAAATTTTGCTTTGAATCCTAGCGCTCTCATCCCGTGCTGTCTAGGGATTTTTTGCTACCCTGAAGCTATGTCAAGGAGGGATGTAAGAGGTTAACTAGTAAACCAGCTAACTAATAAGCATTAGCTTATCAGTTAATCATACTGGCTAAATTTCCAGCCACCGTCAGGAGTCCTGCAGGGCCAGTCATCACCAGAAGCCTATGGAACCAGCTGCACTAGCAGCCCCTGAGAGCTGCCAGGAGCCCATGGGTCCACGTGGTTCAAGGAACCTGCGGCGTCAGCAGCCCAAGGAGCATTTAACCATGTAACTGATGGACTTTCAGTCAGTTACACGGTTAGTGTTTTTAAAATCAGACAGCCCCCCAATCTGAAGCAAACACTCACCAATAGCCACAAACATACCACAAAAACATTCACTCAGGAACCTCTCTCTGCAACAAACACCGATGACAACTCTGTCCACACATCTATACAAGTGATACCATCACAGGACCTAACCACATAAGCCACACCATCAGAGGCTCCTCCACCTGTTCATCCACTAATGTGATACATGCCATCAGGTGCCAGCAATGCCCCTCTGCCATGAATATTGACTGAATTGGAAAGTCTCTGTGCCAAAGGATAAACAGACACAAATCAGACATCAGGAATGGTAATGCACATTAACCTCCATGGATATTCAGCAATGAATTTGAAAGTAGCCGTCCTTCTACAACAGAATTTCAAAACCCGATTACAAAGGCAAACACCTGAACTGGAATTCATTTGCAAATTCAACCCTATCAACTTAGGACTGAATAAAGAACCTGACTGGTTAACACACTGTGAAGGCAATTTCCCCTCTTTGGATAGTCACATCTCCACATCAAATGCTGTGAATGAGCCACTTCCATCCTGACTTGATTAGCTTCATTAACACAAGCAACCTCTTCTTTATATATACCCCAGCCTCTCTCACGTCTACTCCAATTCATCTGATGAAGTGGATTTTACCCATGAAAGTTTGTGCCCCTCTGTTAGTCTCTAAGGTGTCACAGGACTCCTCATTGTTCGCACATACAGATTAACATGGCTACTTATCTGAGACTTTAATTGCTGGAGACTCCAGAACAATCCTGGAGGGGTGGCAACCCTAGTAAAGAACCCAGTCTGTGCTATTCTACTCAAATGACTCATGACTCACTGCCTACACTGCTGTTTGCCCCTGTGTTAGCTGGGCATGCAGTATCTGGGCCCTACATGCTGCTGTAAATATAAACACACCGTTAACAACTAGCCCCAGGTCACACAGGAAGTCTGTGGTAAAATGGGGGTCATCACTGTCTCCCAATGCTCTTCACCAGGGAAATAAAGAGGGCATGAGACTCTAGTTGGCTTTGAAAAGGTGATGACCAACTGAAAAGTAAAGCAGTTCTACTTACTACCAGGTGATTTCAAGGTTCAGCTTTATAGTGCCAAGATCATTAATGTCAACAGCAACCGCCTGGGGCCGAGCTGCAAACAAGTCCTTTGTCTCACAGGTAACGCTTCCCACTAGAATGTGAGTGGCAAGTCCTTTAACTTCTGTGACCTGCAAGGGTAAAGAGCAGCAGTATTCAGAACAGGGCTTCATACTGTATGTCAGCTTTATGGGCAGCTTTTAACAGCAGGTATTAACTAGGGTTTACCTTAATGGAGATCAGCCCAACAATAAGAGGAAGGAAAACCACTTCTTCTCCGTCCCAGCTTTGCTTGCCATTCACTTCAATTTTGCCTTTCAATTTCCATCGCTGGCGGCCATACCTCATGAAAATCTAAGAGACAGAGAAGTCCTCTCAGTTTCTTGGCATGCATGCTCTACCTTTTCTCAAAGGTATGAGGGAAATGGTCATTTCTGAAACACACCTGAAGAACAGATGCTAAGAATAATGAACTCTGACTTTCCATCAGGTTTGGTGGAAAAGCAATGTTGAAGGGGCACTGCACTGTGTTCTCATATTCATTTCATAATATAAATTTGCTCTTACAGCACTTCATGTCTTGCAAAAATACTTGCTCCTACAGATCCAGAGCCAAGGGCAAAAAGGGAAGGTAACCCCTTTAATACCAGAAATGCCTTCCCTCTGAGCAGCTAGGACTGAGAACAAGGAGACGGGCATATCCTTAGTAATACTGCATCATTGCTAGGGATGGACAGATTCAGTGGTGAGATTTTGCAAAACCAGCAAAATAGATATGCTTATATGAAGCTTGTATGAATGATCTGAGGTTGGCTGGGGGAGTCCCATTCTCTCCTCTTCACATAACCTTCTCTGGCTAAGAGACCACAGCCATTCTTATCAGTTGCTTAGCCATGGTGGCCATTTTTAGTCCTCTCTTTAATTTGGGGTATACATTTAATTTGAGCCTCTTATGCTGTTTTTAAAAAGCTTCCATGTAGCTTATAGTTACTTCATTTTTGGGGTCTCTGTACCTTTTAATTTGTTTGTTTTATGTGCTCCTTTTTGTGTAGTTCCCCTTTCTGAAGTTAAATGCTACTGTGGTGATCATCTTTGGTATTTTCTCCCCCAAGAAGGATATTAATATATTCTGGTTGCTCTTCCTAAATTGTTCAGCTACATTTATCTCTTGGTCCAGACCCTCTGCTTCACTGAGGACTAAATCAAGAATTGCCTCTACTCCTGTGGGTCCCAGGACTAGCTGCTCCAAAAAGCAGTCAGTGGTGTCTAGAAATTTTATTTCTGAATCCTCTTCTAAGCAACCTGTACCCAATCATACAGAGATAGCTGAGATCCTCCATTACTGAGTTTTGTATTTTTATAATATCTCTAGTCTCTTGAAGCATTTCAGAATCACCATCACCATCCTGCTCAGGTGGTCATTAGTATATTACACTTACTATACTTGTATTATTCAGACATGAAATTTCTATCCCTAGAGATCCTGTGGAACAGGTTGATTCATTTTAAGATTTTTACTATCCTGGACTATGCTTTCTTTCACACAGGGCCACCCCCACCAGCAAGACCTATTCTGTCATTCCTGTATATTTTCTAACCTGGTGTTAGTAACCCATTGATGTTGTCTTACTTTAATAGATTTATCCTTTTTGTTTAGTTTGTTCTGACTAGATAAAGGAGGCATCTTCTACACAGATGAATTGGAGACTTATGCCAAGAATAAGATATTGTGAGGCATTATTTCTTTCTAAACAAGCTAGAGACAGACCTATTGTTATCTTAATAGCTATTAACCACTAACTTTGGGTCTTGATTGCTGCTGACATACTCAGACATAAAAACTACAGTGGGGAGTGGGTTTTTTACTAGCTACATGAGGAAAAAACAGCTCTTTCCACGATAAGTTACTTGCATGATCATGTACACAATGATGGAAATCTTCCCCTACTCCCACTTACTTTATACTAAGGAAACAGATAAGATACTTACCTCATATTGATCTCCAGGACAAAGACGAGCAAAACCAGCCAGACCTAAGAGCAAATGACATTTGAAATTGGTTTCAGAAGGTACTCTTTATTTAACCTTTTCTTCCCTTTTTAACTCCCTTTACCTGTATAAACCAGATGCTTATGACCCGATCAAAACCATAGCCCTATGGTATCAGTGCACTCTTGCCACGTGCCTCACCACTTTGAACATCCTTTCTAAAAGAGTTGAACCCACCTGTATTTCTTGCTGTTGGAAATTCAGGCTATCTATAAAGATCCCACTGATGGCAGAGAAGCTGTTGTGTTCACTTTTTGTTCCAGGGCAACATGAGAGTAGGATGTATTCCATAGGTGAGAGAGTAACCCAATCATGGATTTGATTTGTTTGGTGTTTGAATGTCTGATGTGTGTGCCTGGCTGGATTTTAGTTAAGAAAACTTCCTACTAGCACCTCACACTCTTTAATATACCTCTACATGTCAGTTAATAAGACAAGCCCCAAATCCATAAGAATCTTCTGGTGGATTGGAAATGAATTTCTTAGCCCCTACTACAGCCCCAAGAAATGGAAACTGCATCCTCTCCTTTTTCCTAGGCAGCTGTTGCGTAAAGTGTGCCAAGAACCATTGAGCTCTAAAGGTGACATGGCATCAGTTTACGACTTTTTTCTTCTTCATGATCTCTGTGTCATGTTTCATTATAAATGGGGATCATGTGAAATGAACAAAACTATTTCAATGTAATACAAGTAGGAAACATTCATTCTAGAGCAATTTTGGATAATTTGCTGTCCAACAGTTTGGTTTTTGTTCAGTATATTCACTACTCAAACTACTGATATCAGGCAAATGACAATGCATTTTTTTCATTCAGCTTTTTGCCCAGTAGTTTTTGTTATGACGTAGTCAAATGAGAAATTTAATTATAGACTCTGATAAACTGAAAGAGGTCTCCACATTCACCAACACAGAGTTCCCTATATTGACATAAATGGCCTGAGATGCATGCCATGACATGTTGTGGGTCTAATTATCATCTTGGACGCACGCACGCGCGCACGTGCTTGCGCTCTCTCTCTCTCTCTCTCTCATACGGGGCTACTCAGCTTTGGAAGCCCCGGGGGCCACAATGGTACTCACAGCACATGTTGAGGGCTACAACTTAAGTGTGGTTGCATATACATGAAAATATATACGCAAATAGCTTCATTCACACTGACAGGCATGAAAACAAAGGTTAAGGCAAGACTACACAACATGCAGGTCCCATTTAAATCAGTTCTGCTTATATTAATAAAATGGAATATTTACCCAATTTACACCCATATGACAGCACTTTTAATGAGCAATGACAGTCCAGGAATTTAACTACAGGCAGTCCCCGAGTTACGCGGATCCGACTTACGTCGGATCCGCAGTTACGAACGGGTCACTTCCTCTCCCTGGTCTCGAGCAGACCAGGGAGAGGAAGCAAAGCGGCGGCGGAACGCGCGGCCAGCTGACAGCCCAGACGCGTCTGGGCTGTCAGCTGGCCGCGCGTTCCGCCGCCGCTTTGCTTCCTCTCCCTGGTCTGCTCGAGACCAGGGAGAGGAAGTGACCCGTTCGTAACTGCGGATCCGACGTAAGTCGGATCCGCGTAACTCGGGGACTGCCTGTATTAGCAA